CAAGGGGTCTCGGGTTCGATTACCAGGTTGGGCAAAGTATTACTGGGTTTTTTAAATATTCTCAGTAGTAGTACGGAGTCTGGAATTATGCCCGGTATATGGCAATAGGGTCACCCCCTATTACATGGGACTCATAACATAAATAGTGAAAAGTGGGTGTTACATTGTACATTGGTATAATGTGCACCTCTGCCTACCCCTTCGGGGATAAAAGTAGAAATATTTTGGTTGACAATTAAGTCACTGGAATTTTGTAAAAAGGATGAATGAAAGTAGTCTAACAAAAGAATTATACAGCAGCTGTAGCCAAACGCCACTTTAGCGCTTGTCTACATGTAGAATAGAAAACAAAATTATATGGAATTGATGTACATTTTGATATTTGTCAGTGTCATCCCCATACATTTTGATTTTACTCTCTCTGTAGACAAGCGCTAAAGTGGTGTTTGGCCAAAAACACTGAGCGGATATGAATGAGGCAGTCGGTAGAAAGCGCCCTAGAAGGACATATACTGATCAGGGAGCTTAATCTTGAATCCAATTCCGATCGATCGACCTTGGTATTGTAAAATTTCGTACTCTTGAGTTGTAACACTAGCGCCCATTGCATCCGTATTGCGTGGATATTTAATGAACTAAATGCTATTGAGTTTGGATTTACATTCCGTACTCTAAATACTATTTTAACGTCTACTACTATTTGTGGTTGTATATTGTTGACATTGAATAATTATTGAGATTTTATAGGATTGAATTTGCATTGACATTGAGATTGGTTTCAAGAGTAAGCACCCTAATTGGCGATATTGTAAGTAAGCCTTGTTGAAGCCAATGCCTCCGCTAACGGTAGTCACCGGTGACCCCCATGGCGTTTAACGTGTTAAAGAAGGACTAAATTACAAATACCCTTAACCGACAAGCAGGCATGACGAGATTAATGACTGTTGATAAGGCGAAAAGAGATATGTAAGAATCGTAGAACTTGGCGTTCCATAGTCTCTGCCTACCTCTGTAGGAAACAGGCATGAAGTTATGTATGAAAACCAGTGTGAAACAACGGTTGCGTTATAAATATATTTCGTCGTGTGAGTGAGGGACCGTAAGCACGGGCCTGCAGACGGCGAGCATGGGTAGCTCGCCGCCCGACCAGAACCAGACCTAAGCGTACGGCGCATCGGGTTCCGTGCGCGCCTCAAAGAGCCATCAGACCACCACAGATGCAGCCCAATAGGGCTGATGCCGATATGAAGTCGCAGAGGACTTAACGGGTTGCCGGGGCTCCGGCTCGAAGTGCAGGAGTAGGAACGGGGTGGTTTTGGTCAGTAAAAGTCTGACACTATAGGCGGGAAGTCATTCGATGATCCCCCCCCTTAAAAATCCCTCAAATGGTAAATCCTTGTGCCCTTAACCACCACGTCAAGTACCAACAATAACCATACCTACTATGTGCTACAAATATAATAAGTAGGTACTTATTATAATAATAACGCTATCGTTTATTGGATTCAAACACAAAAACAACTGAACGGAATTCGATGCAATTTAGCTATTAGGATAGCTCATGACCTAGTTTAAACACGCAATGGAAACATATGATTTACTGTTGTTGTGTAGTCAAATTAATGTACAATGTTAATAGAATTTAATTTATGAATCACTATCATTGGTATTATTAATTGGTTTGTGTTTGTGTATATCATGGTTAGTTATGACGAAGATCTTTAAAGTAGACTTCAAACTGTTATTTTTTTATGGCATAGGTCAGCCAACTAGCTGACGGATCACCTTATGGTAAGCAATCGGCACCGCTGATAAGACTCCGAAAGTTTTTGTTGTGTTTCTTTTAAGGGGGGAAAATCATCGAAAGACTTCTCCCCCTTGAATTTTTTTTTATATCAGAAGCCGGTAAACGAGCTGACGGATTACCTGGTGGCAAGCAATCGGCGCTGCCCATGGACACTCGAAACACTAAGGCGTTAAAAGTGCGTTACCGGCTTCTTGGAAATTGGGATTTTGAGGATTGTGGAGGATTTGGGGATTCGGGAGACGGGGACTAGGGAGGGGTTTTTGGTCTCCGGTCTCCGGTCTTGGGTCTCCGGTAACGTCACTCACACGACGAAACACAACGCAAGTGTTGTTTCACGTCGGTTTTCTGTGAGGCCGTAGTATCACTCCGGTCTAGCCGGCCCATTCGTGCCGAAGCATGACTCTCCCACACTTGAATGAGGCCAGAGGGAGTGTCAGAGTCTTTTTTTTTAGGGGGGGGAAAATCATCGAATGACTGCTCCCGCCTCGGTGAGGCGGGAATGAGTGTAAGACTCTTACTGACTAAAAGCCACCCCGTTCCTTCTCCTGCACGTCGAGCCGGAGCCCCGGTTACCCGTTAGGTTCTCCGCGACTAGTGTCAGAGTCTTAAAGTTATCGGGGCTCCGGCTTGAAGTCCAGAAGTAGGAACATTTGATTTTTAGTCAGTATTACTGACTAACTTTACCTTTGTAACTTTTTACGTTCTCTGTAGCCATGTGTGTGTTTGTTGTACAAAGACATCAAAAATGCTGAAGGGATCGGTGTTGAAATTTGGAACTGAGATAGGTTATGATCTGGAATTACACATAGGCTACTTTTCATCCCACGGGATGGGCAGAAGCTATTACTATTCAATTACATATTTATTAATTTGTTTCAATTATCACCATCCTTATTGGTTATATATTATGTATTACAATTATAGGGAAATAGGTATACTCAATGTGATAATAAAATTATATAAACACTATGTTTACCTCATTGTAACCGTGACCCATAATTTTATTTTATTTTGTATCAGTCAGACCATTCATTGTCTTGTTTAATAGTTAATACATACACACTTTGTTAATCAATACTTTGCATGCCTTCATACAAATAAAATCACTTTTTTTAAGTGGGGTAAGTCATCGAATGACTACTCCCGCCTAGGTGAGGCGGGAGGGAGTGTCAGACTCTAACTGACTAAAAAACACCCCGTTCCTTCTCCTGCACGTCGAGCCGAAGCCCCGGTAACCCGTTAGGTTGTACCTAAGCCGAAATCTAGTCAGAGATCGAAAAATAAAAAAATAGTTGGAGCAATATCTGATAAAGGAGTCCAATATTGTATCGGGTATATTTTGCAAAATCTTATTATAATCATGTTTGATGGCAAACAAATATTATGATTCATAATGAATAACTGACTGTATTGTTGAGTGCGCCTGCAGGGCAAGGGGTCTGAGGTTGGATTCTCGGATTGGGAAAAGTATAACTGGGTTTTTAAAAAATTCTCAGAAGTAGCATGAAGTCTGGAATTGTGCCCGGTATATGGCAATGGGCTCACCCCCTATTACACAAGACTCATAAAATAAATAGTGAAAAGTGGGTGTTACATTGTACAGTGGCATAATGTACACCTCTGTCCTTCAGGGATAAAAGGTGTGATGTTATGTTCATAATGAATAATTAATTGATAAGTTATATAACCTCTTTGATACGTAAATACGGTGTAATTGAGACATGGAAAAGTACTTTTAAAGTTTCAAGTAGTTACTGTCATCATGAGTGCAGTGTCTAGTAGATTAAGCTATTCGAATTGGACAAAGTTTATCATTTGATTTTGAACTTTATATGAGAATGTTAAAGTAGAGAATCTGAGAAAGAAGTTTTCCAGAAACAAGTAGGAATTCAAGGTGGCTAAGGGATTGTTTCATAGTGTGTATATATACTTAATATTATAAAGTCGAACAGTTTGTTTGTTTGAACACAGTTAACTTTGGAACTACTGGTTCAAATTGAATGAATTGATAGACGTTTTGTGTCTGATAGTTCATGTTCATTTGTCTAGTCCATAAATCCCCAAGTGGTCACGGGTGACTGCCCTCCACTAACTACATTATAGACCTTATTTCTAATGTTTAGAGACTTCTGAATGTGACAATGAATGTGTACCTACATAACTAAAAATGTTGCAATGTCTGTAAGAGGCCGCTAAGTATTAAGCACTGTAATAATTTTATAACCATCATCTGTACACTTAGTTGCAATAAACGCTTTGACTTTGACTTCTTTTGTATGAACAAATTTAGGGGATGATTTTCAATAATTTGCAATGGGCTAGGGAGGCTATAGGTTTTTCACCCTGTACAAGTTGAAAGACAGGTGATTGTAAAAAGCAGGTGTTATATTTATAAAGGTACCGAATTAAATGTTTCTTTTATTTAATATTACATAGTTGTAATCAACCACTCGAGGCTGATGTTACATGAATAACGTGAAAACAAAGATTTTTTCAGCATTTAAGGAGCATCCGCTTACACCATGTATAATATCACCCTACAATTCATAGGAACTGAACTGGTGGAACTGTGTGGGAGTGGCTAGAGTTTAAAAAATCTCTGATAAATCACACAGACAATTTTTTTTTTTCTATTTTTGATGGGGCAATGTTTGACCACTATCTCGCCTGGTGGTAAGCTATGCAGTCTTCGATGGAGCATGTCATCCCATAAGCAACCTATTCACTCACAAATAACTTGATATAGGTATTTTCAAAATTAAAAATGTCTAAGTATCCTTTAATTAGGACAATACAATAACATCACAGGAATCTGTTTAACAGGATCTGATAGAAAACAATGACATTTTAAGTTAATATAAAATTATGATGTATAAACCAAAACCAGCTGATTTCAATGATAATATAAATTACAAATGTAATGAAAATAACGCCAATAGGGGACATTTTATCAGTACTCATCTAGTTTACTGACTCAACCATTATTATCTACACTAAATACACTATACACCAGAGTATCGGCTCGAAAACTAAATAAATACCAATTAACTACGAAAAAAACGAACGAATTACATTCCTGAACACGTTTTAAAGATCCTTCACCGAGTGTTTTAGCTTGTTCTGTGTGCAAATGTGATTTTATTCAGTTTCGTGATGTTTTTATAATGGATGTCGTGTAAAAACGTTGTCTTACCATCTTGCCAAGGGTTTTCAGGTTCAAAGTACTCCGTAACTATAAGATCCTCATCTGGAAAACGCACTGAGCGTCCAGTTTTCTTTTTCTCCCCAACAACATCACATATAACACTAACTTTGTTCACAGATTCTGCTCTTTCAGAATTAATATTATTATCACACTCTATCGGGCATCCCGTAATTTTATCAGGCTCGGTAGACATATCTAGCGTGTAATCTATCACATATTATTGCAAACGAACACATTAGCGAACACAAATGCTACATCAAAAATAAAATAATATTCAATTCAATAACACAATAGTTTTAACACAATTAACTTCGAGATCGATTATTTAATATTAACAACACGAGTACCACGTTAATTCACCGGCCATTGCGTATTTTTTTTCGCGATTCGTTATGAGTTTTTTTTCCATACAATTTTTTTTTATTGTTCGTTCCGAATCAAAACATTCCGCACCTCTCATACACCGTTTGCCGCCATATTGGATTGAACGAGACAAAAGGAGAGTTTACATTATTGACTGGAAGAGGGCGCCAGTTTTAGGTCAGTGTTGCCATCGTAGAGCAAAATGTAGTTCGATTGTTCAGCAATGTATTATAGTGCCATCTACCAGGACGTAGGTAAACTATTTAGAAAAAATATGAAACAGCTGTTACAGAGAGGGCAGACCTTACTGTGTGTATTGGAATCCAATTAAAATCGGTTGGTTTATTTCAGAATGCATTTTCATAAATTCTTCATAACTGTATAAAAAATAAAAAAAAGAAACTGTCTCTTTTTTATGGAATAGGAGGCAAACAAGCAGACGGATCACCTGATGGTAAGCGATCAACGCTGCCCATGGACACCCGCAACACCAGAGGAGTCACAGGTGCGTTGCCGGCCTTTTAAAAAGGAATGAGCTCTTTTCTTGAAGGTTTCATAATGATGTCCAATTTCTTTATGTTTGTCGCAACAAAAACTAACTCACATTTATACTGCATGTTTTCTGAACTTACGTTCTCCAGATATCAGCTAAATGAATACATTTTCATACAACAACTACGAAGTTCTCAAAAAGATTGAAAGCACACTACAGCTTTTCCAACTAAATATTTTTCCTGTAATATTAGATAATTTTATTATGTTGCTTTTTATTGTTACTTACTCATGGCATTTGGCTATTAACTTGCTTGATTTTAAGAGTTAATGTGGCCAATAATGGAGCTCCATCTTCATTTAAGCAACCTTCTTGCTCAGGACTCGAAGACTTTAGGAAACACAGATTGACAAAAACTCCACCCCTATTGCGAAAAATGTAGTGTATTACATTTTCAACTCTATTTACTTTGTTTACATAAAATCAAATATCCAATGAATTGACAGAACCTACCCCAAGGTTGTTTTGGTTGTCTTGAGGAAATCCCCGTCACCCCGTTTTAATGGACCCGAGATGGTGGCGCGCGTTGTATCCACGTGCGCCTTTGAGACGTAGGTAGCACGGACGAGATCAACACCTCAATCCTCTGTGCATTTTGAAGTAGGTCAAGCCAGGCGGCCATGAGTTCGGGAGCTGCGAAAGAATGTGACTCCCGCATCTTCGTACCCACGTGTGAGATGGGACATCAGTAAGTCTGACAGTCTCTTTCGTCCTTCCCAAGCGAGGGGGTCCAATTTTTTTTATAGCATAAGCCGGTAAACAAGCAGACGGATCACCTGATGGTAAGCAATCGGCGCCCATGGACACCCAAAACACCAAGGCGTTACAAGTGCATTACCGGCCTTTTGGGAATTGGGAATTTGAGGATTGTGGAGGATTCGGAGATTCGGGAGGATATCCCACCTTGAAGTAAAAAAAAGGTTGATCTGCCGTCTACTGAACAATAAAACATACGTTGGGTAACTAAAATTATTTATTCAAACTCAACATCACATAATCCTTTATACACGCGACTTTGCCTTATAAACTAAATATTTATACAATAACTAACTATTCGTTATAAAATCAACTTTTAAAATAGAGCATTTTGTATCGGAAACATACTATTGGTACCTAACGTGATCCGAAAGCACGGGATTGGTCAATTTAAGCTTCATTGGATGGAAAAAACCATAGACGGAGACAACTCCGTATTTTTATATCAATTATATAAACTGTAAATGTAATCGTGGTGTAAATGTAAATATTTTATAAAATGCCTCACTAACGCACAATTGTTATGTTAGGTATAAGAGTTGAAAGAAAGAAAGAAATATAATTAATTTTATTCACGCTTGCTCAATGCGGGTTGGCAATTTCAAATATGAAATTAGAAATTATAAGCCCAGGTTTCCTCTTGATGTTTTCCTTCACCTTTTATCAGTGGTGTCTAGATAATCTTAGAAACTATATATAACTCGGAATAAGTCGCATTGATACTTGCCGTTGATAGGTTTCGAAACCGTAGGTACTCATCAGAAGCGTTATACATAAATCTCCGGGCCACCACATACAAGAGAGTATGTGTGCCTAGTGAATATTATTACAACAAAACTTGAGGATTGGGCAACTAACAAGTGCTTCGGATCACGTAAAATTTCAATAGTACATTTCCGATTATGTTCGATATGAAATGGAAACAATTGGTCATTATTTTGAGGTTTTTAGATAAGACCAGTATACATTGACCTGTCTGAAATTTGCAATAATCGTATTGTCTCTTTTACTCGTTACAATATGTGGTCCATGCATCTCGCTCTTCAGTTTAACATGTATTAACAGGGAGGCCCAAAATATGTTTGACATAATAATTTTATACAGATCCAAAAGTTAACAATTGTTTTTGGTATATTTAATTTTAAAGTGTTTTAACATCATTAAATATTTATAATACAGGAGTGAACTATAAATCAATTTGTTCCAAAGTGAACTGACCCAGCCAACTTCGTTGCGCTAGAGAATTATTGACAGTTGCCATAAACAAAAATACGAGAAAATTAATATATTACACAAATATGCAGGTTTAACAGATTCATAAATCAATAAATGGTGGTGAAAATCCATCCGGCCGTTTTATATTTAAAAGTGACATTGGTAAATCGACAATATGACAAAACCATTTTATTTTCGTATAATAAGCTGCCAAAGTATATGTAATACGGCGGTAACTAAACGGATTCCCCATTATCAACAATTAAAATACTGTACTGCATATCGCATTCCTTTTGAGTAAACACGTTTCGTTGTCAAATCTATAGACTGACAGATAATTCAAAATGGCCAACTGTCAAAAAAAGGCGGGAGAAAATGTTCGTCACCAACAAACTTTTTTATTCGTAAAATATAATATTGAGAACAAGTTATCAATTTTTAATACATAATCAACATTTTATAATATTTTTTACACGTATTTATGTACATAATGGTCCTAAACTTTGTACCAATAAAATTTTCTTACAATATATAAAAAATATTCGATTTTATATATTTTTTTTTAACTAATAACGACGTTGGACGTTTAATATACTTATTTTAATATATTTTTTGTTAAATTAAATCTAACGAGTTTATGATTTGTTTCGTTTTTCAAAATAATTTTTGAAATTGTAGTGGAGAAGAGAGGTGTCAGTCGCCAGATGTACTCTACACACCATGATACATCACGCTATGCAAAACCAGTGTTAAATGATCGTCGAATGTACGGACAGATAATACGAAGCGAGCCCACGATAAGCTGGTTTTGTATAGCTCGTGTACAATACAATTTGTTTGAGTTAAAGCCGCTAGAATTAATAGATTAAAACTATGTAATACATTATATGCCACTCTACTATTTCATTTTACAAAAAAAAATATATTTAAAAAGCAAATAATAGTTTTTTTAATTGCATTTGCAATGTATACAGTGTGATGTTTTTCCTGTTTCTCTTATACAGAGTGTTTGAAATATCGTTACTTAAAGTTTTGTACAAAACAGAACATAGAAAAAAAATATTCTCCTTTATTTATGTATTGTCATATCATTCCAAAAAAGGTGTAGGCAGAAATAGACTGAAAACCACTTTCATCACTTATATTATTAGTCTCATTGCAATAAGGCAAGCCTTTTGCCAAGCAAAGGCTAAAACTCCAGATTTCATACTATCATTGAGAATTTAAAAAAAAAATCTAACTGGTATATACCTACATACCTTGATACACGATATTCGACACAATTTACGCACAGCTACAATCTATTTTCGACTGACCAAATGATTTGATGTCTATAGCAAATATTCAAGTATCGATATTTGAAACATCCTGCACATAAATTCGAACATACAGAGTGAACTTTTAATCTGAGACTGGCAGACATAAGTAACGGATGAATTTATACGAAGAAACAGAACTCGGGCAAGTCAAAACCAAAAATTACATTTTATTACATATACAAGGTATAGTTTTGAAACTGTGGCATTTCTTGGGGGCATGTCACAGAAGTCATAAAGGTTCAATGTAAGAGAAAGTTTCGGGCCAATAGATAAAAATACGGCTATAATGAATCGTTTAAGATCGACAGTATTTCAGAATAAGCGACAGCAATGTTTCTTATTGGAGTTTTATGGAATTAGGAATGATATCAATTCAGTGTTTGAGTTTGTGTGTGTTAAGCCGTGTTATAAAGCTAGTTACAAGACGGCGGCGTGTAATTCGCACTTACGAATTTCCGTAATTTACAGAAAAATGAAAAATATTTACCTACAATTTTTTTATTGATTCGGACTCAGAATCGATAGCCGAGTTACGTCCTAGAAAATGACGCGGCTTTAAAACAACACCTTGTATAACTTCACGCCTGTCTTCCATGGGGGTAGACAGAGACTATGGAACGCTAATTACTACGATTTCTATATACCTCTTTCGCTTTATCAACAGTCAACAAACTTTTCATATTTTCACTACGTTATATATATTTTATTTGTGTCTTAGACGGTTTTTATAAAGACTTCGATTGCAAAATATGTATAATTTCCATTCTACAGTTAGGTCTGGTTAAAAGTCCACCCACAATTCGTATTAAAAACTTAAATTAATAACTTCTATTTAATATAAGACTCTGACTTACAGTTTGTCTATTTTGATAATTAAGGATGGCGCGAAAATGACTTTTCGCGCCATCGAACGAACCAGATAAAATCAAAAACATAACATAACATCACGCCTTTTAATCCCACCGGCATAGGCTTTCATAGATATCCACATTACGGCACTTAATGCCACTGTACAATGTAACCCCCCACTTGTCAATATTTATGTAAGGAGCCCCATGTAGCACAATTCCAGAATCCGTGCTACCACTGAGATAAAAAAAATCCCAGTAGTACTTTGCCCGACCCGGGAATCGATCCCGAGACCCCTTGCCCAGCAGTCGCACTTGCGACCACTCGGCCAACGAGGCAGTCTGTCATTTTTTTACTCTTTAATATATCACGTGAAATAATAGTCTTGTCAAAATCGGTCCAGTCATTTCAGAGATTAGCCAAAACAAATGGCAAGCTAGCACATGGCTTCATTAGAGGACTGATCAACAGACTGACGTATTTAACTCTTTCAGTCTTGGTGGTCACTGCAGCTAACCACGTTTTCTTAGAAATTCGATTTTTAAAGTATGCTTCAAATATGTTTGCATTGGTTTTTAAGCATTTCAGTGTAATTAAATAAAATATATAAGTGTCGTGGTGGCCAGGAGGTTTAAGACGCCCACTTCTCATGCATGAGGGTGCGGGTTCGAAACCTACCAACGGCAAGTACCAATCTGACTTTTTCCGAGTTATATGTACTTTCTAAGATTATTTAGACACCACTGACAAACGGTGAAGGAAAAACATCGTGAGGAAACCTGGACTTATAATTTCTAATTATAAGTTTGAAATCGCCAACCCGCATTGAGCAAGCGTGGTGATTAATGCTCTAACCTTCTCCGTGTGAGAAGAGGCTTTGCTCAGCAGTGGGCATTTATAGGCTGTTGATGATGATGATGATGAAATAAAATATATTCGTAACAAAAGTGTGACTGAAAGAGTTAAATATTTTCTTTTGTTTGACATTTAAAAGCGCCTTCCTGGTCTAATTGAAATAAGAATTTTTGACTTCTGACAGACACGGTATAAAACAAAATCACTTTTAGCTGTCTGTACGCTTTTATCTTTAAAACTACGACGCAACCGATTTCGATGCGGTTTTTTAAGCGCTGCTAGAATATATAAGAGGTAAGTCAGAGTCTTTTATATATTGTAAATCTTATATATTAAATAGTTATACAGGGTTTAAGCGGACCGCTCCCGGAAAACGCCGACAGGTGATTGTCAAAATCAAGTTTATCCATATAGGAATTAAATGTTACTTTCATGTAACAATAGTTGTAATCAAGCGCTCAAGACAGATTTTTTTATGGGATAAGCCGGTAAACGAGCAGACGAATCACCTGATGGTAAGCAATCAGCGTCGCCCATGGACACCTGGAACACCAAAGGCGTTACAAATGCGTCGCCGGCCTTTTGGAATTAGGCATTTGAGGATTATTCGGGATTCCGAGAAGTGTGTGGGGGGAGCGGGGGGGGGGGCGGGTAACTGGGCCTCCGGTAACCTCAATCACACGACGAATCTGTTGCATGAACGTAAAAAAACACAAATAAATTTTTGTAAGCGTTTTTCGGGTGCGTTTCGTTTACACCCTGTATGTATAATAATGTTCCCGACTTTAATATCTATATATATCTATGTTTTTGGTCTGTATATAAGTGTGTATATGATACTTAACTATTCTTTTATGTTGGTACATGTATATCACGGATTCTCCTTCTTAATTTTTAAATCCAGGACGCCATCTGTAATTTGAAAACGGAATTATTTTAATTTTTTCCAATAAAGAAGTTTGATTGCACGGTTGGTGCGGTGGCTGGGCAACTGGCTGCTTCGCAACGTGTTGAAGGTTCCATTCTCGTACGGAACAACTCTTTGTGAGATCCACAGATCGTTGTTCCGTGTCTCGATGTCATGTGCATGGGAACTTGTATGTTTGTAAACGCACCCACGATACAGGAGAAATTCTACTGTGACGTAACGTTTTTCCTTTGGAAATAAAAATATAAATAAAAGAAATGTGGTCAGGCTAAATATTAAATGGGGATTTTTCGAAAATTCCTCATTAGGAAAGTGAAGATTACCGGAGGCCCAATTCCTTTCGTCTCTAATCCTCTAATCCCTATAACCCAAAAGGCAGGCAACATAATGAGAACAAACTTTTTGCTTTGCTGACTGGATGGCGCAAATGTAAGAAGGGATTTTTAGTCCAATCAAAGCAGCTGTCAAATTTTGAACGTCCAATGGCGTGACAATAGCTAATTCCCTATTGGATGATGAACGAAAGGTAAACGATAAGTAAAAAAAGGCCAGTAGGACTCATATTAGCTCACTTGGTGTTTCTGGTGTCTATAGACGACGCTGATTGTTCACGTTATACATCTGTTCATTAGGTAGTCTTTATCTTTAAGGGACAAAAATCATTCAATGACTCTCCCTCCCCCCTTAGGTAAGGCGAGAAGGAGTGTCAGACTCGAACTAACCAAAAACCACCCCGTTCCTTCTTCTGCTTCGAGCCCCCAAGGTAAACAATTAAGTAATCCGCAGCTCGCTTCGAGATCATAATAATAATATTATTGTTAATTCTATTGGTTTCTTCGGTGTTATTACTTTTTTTTTATTAATTGATTTTTATTTTGTTTGTGTAACACACTATGTGTCTCTGTATTGTTATTTCTTTTCCTGCCACAGGCCCACAGGAAGAAATTCCAGTTGGAATATGTGGGGCCTATGTACTCTGTTTTTTATTATGTATTATCCTCTGTGTTGAATGTGTATACATAAATTAATTAATAAATAAATAAGATTATAAAAAACAAACATAACATCACGCCTTTTATCATGTAATAGGGGGTGAGCCTATTGCCATAATATACCAGGCACAATTCCAGACTCCGTGCTACCACTGACAATTTTTTTAAAAACCCAGTAATACTTACCCCAACCCAGGAATCGAACCCGAGAAAACTTGTCCGGCAGTCGCACTTGCGACCACTCGGCCAACGAGGCAGTCATAATATAAGACTGTTTGGTATTTATTTTTTGACATAAAAATTTTGACAAAATATGTATTATTGTTTTTTAATGAATAAATTGTATCAAATGAAGATTATTGTAATGTATAAGATTTGCATGGACTTAGCTTATTTAATATTTCTACACCAGGAATAGTAAGTACATAATTATATGTGTTTCTATATTTAATGTAAGATCTCAGTGTACCATGTACTTAGAAATAAATATATCTTTATCTTTATCTTTAAGAACTCACCATTATTATCAGAATAGACACAGGTAATTCTTCTTGGAGCTAACTGCTTCCTCCCATGGCTTTTTCTTCTCCCTTCTTTAAGAGACAAATTCAATACTCCGTCATCACTCTCGAGTAACTTCAAACTATCTTCGCCGTTAAAAACCATAGACTTAATATTTGAACTCAACTTCTCGTTTGATATAAAAACTGTTTTAGCGAAAACTTTTTTTTTTTCAACATCGTTTTTGAAAATGTGATTGACGCTCTGTTGTACTAGTTTGTCTATGCGGCATTCAAATATATTTTTTTCTGTTTTTTCAAAACATTCCGGTATGAGAGGCGTCTTAGTTTCTGTGACGGCGATTTTTTTTATTGGTATCGTAATTTGAGATTCTTTCTTGGTATCTAAATCTAATATTGGCACTTCGGTTGAGTCTGCTCGATCTTGTAGAATCTGAAAATTTATAATACTGTTAATTAAATATGCACCTTTGCCTACCTCTTATGAGAATGAAGAAAAATGCTAATTAAATATCTCTACCGATCTCTTATGAGAATGTAGAATAATGAGGTTTTTTAGGCCTCATCATAAAATTGACGTGTAAAAGTACTGCCTTGTAGCCTATTTGCAGAAATAAATTCACTTGTTTCACTTTATTTTGTACTAGTTGTTGCCCGCGACTACATCCGTGTACAATAATGACTTCTGGTAGAATTTAGACTTTTGAATTAGTCTTTATCCAAGGGATATTCTACGGTAGCGAATGTCGTCAGAATTGATTCAGTACCTTTTATAGGGTTCCTCCTCTGTATGATGATATAAAATTAAATACTTTTAGAATAAGTATCCTTTTAGTTCCACAAGTGTCCGTTAGAGGAGCTGTAAAAGTTGCCAAAAACAAAAAAAAAATACATCGTTGTAGGAATTTAGGGATTTAGACAGGAGGATTGGGCTGCCGGTAACCTTACTAACACACGTAGTTTACAGCGCCTCAAACGGTCACTTTCAGAACTAAAACTTGATTTATCACAATAATGTACGTAGAGACTTGGACAATAGAGTTGCTGATAATGTTACAATAGTTAGTGCTAGGACCGTGCGAGACTTTGCCTCACCATTTCTTTTCTAATTACCCATATTCTGACAGTTTGAGTATTTGTGCGACCCACGCAAATGTTCTTTGGGTTGGTATTGTTCGTCGAATCAGTCAGCCTCACCTGTTAATTGAGCTGACTGTAAACCGACACAAGCGTACTGCCTTCAGAACGGGTCCGCTCAAACTGTTGTGGTTATTTCCTCAAAAGGCCACTACAGAAAGAACTTGCACGGTTCTCACACATACATATTGTCTGGACTTTAAAAGAGACATACCTCTGAGTTTGTTTCGGCATTTCTTCTCAGAGTAGTCAGTTAGAAAATGTCGACCTCATCGTTCGCTTGATAAAATTGATTTGTAAAAGTGCTGCCTTGTAGCCTATTTGCAGAAATAAATTCACTTGTTTCAATGTTATATTTTTTAACTTACCTGAACAATATGCCGTCTTAATCTAAGACAGCTGGCCCGAACACTATCCCTCTGCGTCATAAGTGACTTCCTCTCAGCAAGCGCATCGTCTCTGCAGGCTCTAACCGCTCGTAATTCTCGAGCTAAACGCCTGAGGTGCTCGACACTCCGACGTCTGCTGTTTTGGGAGGCTAGCTGAGGAAATAAATAGTTAGAATTTTAGTGGTATTTAGTCAGTATCGCAATATCCCTAAAAGGGTAGGCAGAGGTGGACATTACGGCTCTTAATGCCACTGTACAATATAACACCCACTTTTCACTATTTATGTTATTTTAGTCTCATGTAATAGGGGATGAGCCTATTGCCATATACCGGGCACATTTCCAGACTCCGTGCTACCACTGTGATTGAAAAAAACCAGTAATGCTTTGCCCGACCCGGGAATTGAACTAAATCACTCATAACATATTCATGTTCATATCTTTATTTGCATTCCATAATATTTCTTAAGATGTTACATTGGCTTAAAGCTAGGACATAATTATGGTGAAATACATTAAATACAATTACACATAAATAGTGAAAAGTGGGTGTTACATTGTACAGTAGCATTAAGTGCTGTAATGCACACCTCTGCGTCCGCCTTCGGGGATCAAAGGCATGATTTTTTATTTTATTTTTATTTTATTATCGCTTCATGCACAAGGTGTACACAAGGTGGACTTAATGCCGCAGGCATTTTCTCCCAGTCTGACCTTTGGGTGATGCAGAGAAGAGTGAATGGTAGGAGCAAGAAGCAAGCAACGATTTAATTGAGAAAATAGAAGATTACACTAACATATTTCAAATATGAACATAAATAAATATAATAATAATAATATATATATATATATACCTACACACGAGTACACTACAATATACATACATACATACATACATAGATAGATATATATAGATTTTAGACATAGATAGATTTTATGGTACATAAATTAAAAGAAATCTAATCGTCCCTATGTGTAATCAGATCAATAAATAAAACTGACTAATTTTGACTCATCGACTCACCAAACTTAATAAAATAATCCAATAAGCCTTATTGAATAAGTAAAAGTCATGAGTTCGTATGAGAAATACCGCGAATTGATCGACCACAGAGTATACAATTACGTGGTGGCAACCACAGACACTAGTAGTTTGTAATCTATAGTATAAGTAGTATTTTATAACTAGCTGGTACCTTCCGCTCTACGGCTTCGTCTGGATATATATACGGCATCATCCAATGTCTTTAGGGAGTGTCAGACTCTTACTTACTAAAAACCACTCCGTTCCTACTCTTGCACTTCAAACCGGAGCCCCCGGTAACCCGTTAGGTGTCTTTTTTTTCCTTTGGCAACCGAGTCTTCCCCTTAAGTGACTCGCGGACGAACAAGCATCATTGGACATTCAAATTTTGAATCATTGGACATTCAAAATTTGAAAGCTGCAGCGATTGGACAAACAGACATAACACATAACATAACATAACATCACGCCTTTTATCCCCTAACTAAGGGGTAGGCAGAGGTGCACATTTATGTTATTTAAGTCTCATGTAATAGGGGGTGAGCCTATTGCCATATACCGGGCACAATTCCAGACTCTGTGCTACTACTGAGAATATTTGAAAAAACCCAGTAATACTTTGCCCGACCCGGGAATCGAACCCGAGACCCCTTGCCGCCAGTCGCACTTACGACCACTCGGCCAACGAGGCAGTCACACACGCAAACAGACGTTTTTGGCTTAGCGACATCTGGTATCCGCATTGTAATAAAATGCTTTCACATATAACTTGTGTACTGGAACGTCTCATACACGAGTTATTAGTTAACCAGCACAATTGTCACACAATAGCAGTAGTTAGTCCGATATCGGTTTAACGCAGCGTCGGCTGACTACTGCAAAAATAGCTCATTGTGTGATCATCAGGATGCATTACGCAGCATTTTCTTGTCTGTATAAAAATCCTTACTTATATTATAAATCGGAAAGTGAGTTTGTTTGTTTGTTCCACTTTCGCGCCGTAACTACTAAACCGATTGCTTTGAATTTTTGCAGACGTGAAGTTAAAAGTCTGGATTAAATAATAGGATACTTTTTATTCCGGAAAAATTTGATATTCTCGAGGGAAAACGAAATTATTGGTATGATGGTATATGATGTGTGTATTGGTATATGTCACATAGGCTACTTTTTATCATTTTGTGACGCGAGCGAAGCCGCGGGTAAACGCTAGTATATATATATTTTTTGGAGCATGTCGACTAACGATCAGACAAATCACCTGAAGGTGAGCAATGGGCGCCGTCTGTAACGCCTACGCCCGAATGTTACCCGAGCGTATGGCACGTCGCGTTCCGCGCGCGTCTCATAGAGCTATCAGATCATTACGGATGGGGCCAAATAGGGCTGATGCCGATACGGAGTCGAGGAGAACCTAACGGGCTACCGAGGCTCCGGCTCGAAGTGCAGGAGTAGGAACAGGGTGATGTTTAGTCAGTAAGAGTCTGACAGTCCCTCCCGCCTAACCCAGGCGGGAGCAGTTATTCGATGATCTTAACCGCTTAAAAAAATATCGTGTGATGTGTGGTCTACAACATTTTATAGGAACGTGTGGCGTAGCGACCTCCCCTCCTAAACTTAAATCTGTTTTATCTAAGTATTGTTTTCTTGTACCTATGAGAAAATAAAAAAATATGTGTCTGATATGTTTTCATTATCTAACTGATGGACTAATTAGATTGTTAATTTTCATACCCTCCATAGGCAGCGCCGATTGATCATTCAGGTTATCTATTTTCTTGTTTGCCTCATATCCCATAAAAACGTACAACAAACATTGACTTACTCTATTTTTGATCCTTCTCCGAAGTCCCTTCAGGAAGGCAAGGTCATCCTCATTGAGTTTGAGGGACTGCACCCTCTCGGAGTACTTGCAAGTGGAGAGACCTGCCACCTCTTCAACTGTCATGCTGATGCCACGAGCTGGAAGATTAATACATTTTGGAATGAGCACCTAGCTCCACTAACGCACTTATTTTGTATTTGCTGACATTTAAAAAGTACTCGAAATAAATGCTTTGATTTTGAATTAATTGTAACTGTAAAAGTTTGAAAACCTATTAAAGTATATCACAAAAACTTCAAATGATTGATGAAATATTATGTAAATAAAATAAATAAATAAAAAAGCTGTTTATTTCTCGTAAAATACAGTTTTATACAAATCTTAAACTTTAATAGAAAAGATTTTACAGTTAAGGATTTACATTTCCATTATAATTCATTAAATGTCGCTTGAATATGTTATAGGTTTACCGCTTTTTTTTGTTTTTTTAGTTTACAAACTATGTGTTTTGGCAAATTGTTTAGTATTTGGGCGAGACTAACATCCAAACTCTCTTACCATAATCATACCATATAGGTACCATAAATAAAAATGTTAGACCAGTTTGATCCTCCAACATTATTAGGCATTATTATATCTGACAAGAACAAGTTTCACTCTAATAGGAACAATTCTAGTTTTAGAGGTAAAAAGAAAATATAAACATTGTGCAAACTAGCACATATCAAAGGAATAAGGAAAAAAAACAAATAGTTGAATAGTTGCATTCTTATTTCAAATAAAACAACAATCACAGATTCACAACATGTTAAACAATAATATGAGCATGAATCATAACTGATATGGATTAAAACTTTGCTATTTAATAGAAAAAATAAGTTTTCTTTAGTATTTTAATAAGATTTGTGAATTTCATATCATAATTTATATTAAATTAGGTGTCTATTTTGTGTTTGTAAGCAATTTGATGGCCCAAAAACTCATGATCAAGCCACCAATTTGTTTTTTTTAATCATAAAGTAATTTACATGATTTTTCTGGCACTAGTTACCATGTAGTCAGCCAAATTGTATCCTATTATTCAATACGTTTTTCATTAAAAGCATTTCCGATATATTATGTATACAATATGAAATATTTCTGCGTCATATTGTCATAACACATTAGACGTCTACCTGTTGATTTATCCTTACTAGAATTACAACAAAAAATAATTTATAAACAACTTGCCATCCAATATTTCCTGGTCCAAATGATAAGAGGACGTGTGCTTCCCATTATCGTCCATTCTTCATATTTAAAAGTTTGTTTTAATTATTTATTTTTCACAATATCTTTTACGTTATTAGGAAATAGTTCGGTAGGTTAGGATTTCGAGAGCTGTCAATGTCAAATCAAACTCATTTCATTCATCAAAATAGTGTTGTACAAATGTGAAATGGAACGTCACGTGATGATCAAATATTTCTTCTATGTTAGCCCCAGTTATTTTTAAACATTCTCCAATGAGAAGAATATATTATAACCAAAGGGACCTTAGAATAAGTTATGATTTTATAATTATATTAGGTATACATTGAATACACGGTTACCTCAGTAGCGAGACTGGCTCGACAACCAGGTGCTTGCTATATGTACCTAGTGCCTACAACACACACTTACACCTACAAACATTGTCGTCGTGGAGAACCTAACGGGTTACCGGAGCTCCGGCTCGACGTGTAGGAGAAGGAACGGGGTGGTTTTTAGTCAGTAAGAGTCTGACACTCCCTCTTGCCTCACCCAGGCGGGAGCAGTCATTCGATGATTTTCCCCCCTTAAAAAATAAAAAACACCTACAAACACTATAAAAAGTTGCGCGTTCGATTGCCTTTTTGAAAAACTGTTCATGCGAGTACTTCATGTAGTTCTTGTTCCAGATGTGAATGTTGGGTGTAATGTAAACTTTGAACCTAGACAAAGAGACAGCAAGTCCTTGGTCTTCCTCTTTTAAAAAAATAAATAGGTAGGCCTGGTCTAAAAAAGTTCGAAGTGGGTGCACCATAAATATGAACTGCTGGAAGCAGCTGATTCGATGGAAATGGTGAACCTATCAACCGTTTTACACCCATGGTACAAATAAAATACTTTCGTGTAGGACCGTTATGAGAGCACGCGCGGCGGATCGATCGACACGAACACTCGCTGCCTCTCGCGCGCTCCTGCGTCGACTCACTGAAGTAACGGTCGTTCCGTCGTTCGGCACCGCGCCGCCGAATGTCATCATGGCGCGTTTTCTATATACTGCTGTCCCGCTCTTACGCCTCCAGTGCGTAGTCTCGGAAACGAGCGGGAATGCAGGCGTGGCGGCGTCCGGAAGCCCGTGGGCCAATTCGGCTTGCGACAGACTCCCCCTCTAGTTCTGGAGAGCGTCCTCGCTCCGGGACTAGGTCAAGGCCCTGGCATTTCGGACGTCCGCGACGTCGTTTGGGAAGAATAGGATTGGGTGGTACGTTACTATCTAGACCACTGTCCACGAATGGCGTCAAATCCTGAGTATGATATTTCCCGAGGGATTCAGTTGGATCCTCAATTGAAGAGATAATGTAGGTGGTAGGGCTAACCTTCTCGGTAATCACATATGGTCCATCACGCTTGGGAAAGAATTTGGCCGTCAGGCCCTTGCTTCCTTGACTCAATGCATGAGTTCGGACTAGAACCTTATCCCCTACCTTGTAAGTTTGACTTGGCCGACGTGTCTGGTCAGCGACCCTCTTGGATTGATCTTGCTGAACTTCAACTCTTTCACGAACCGCAGATAGATTAGAAATAAAGGTCCTTAAGTAAGGCGTAATTTGAGGCAGAAAGTTTTCTTTATCCAGGATGGCTCTCAAATCATGACGAGCTTCGGTGGGCGACCTCATTTCTCTGGCAAACATGAGATAAGCTGGAGTGACACCGGTGGTTCTGCAAACGCCGCTATTGAGAGCGAACCTAATCACCGGAAGCTTCGTTGGCCAGGAACCATGGTCATTCTCCACAAGTTGCGCCAGCTGCACCTTTAAATCACGGTTCTTACGTTCCGCAGGGTTTGCTTCTGGATGGTAGAGTGGTATGAGGTTCTGTTTAATCCCTAAAATAAACATACATTGTTGCATGACCGCTCCGACAAATTGTACGCCGTTATCGGATGTGACCCTGCGCGGCAAACCGTACCGAAGAAAATATTCTTCAGTAAGAATACGTGCGCAGGCTTCAGCAGTCGCCTCCTGAAGGGCGAAAAGTTCTACCCACCTTGTAGCGGTGTCTTCCACCAGAAGAATCCACCTCTCACCGTTTTCACCGTCGGGTAAGGGACCGAAAAGGTCTACCGCTACAACTTCATTTCGCTGCTGCATTACTGGCGTTTGGAGGAGTCCGGGAGGTTTATTATTTGAGGCTTTGTATCGCTGACAATGGACACAAGCCTTCACATAGTCTGCAACTGCCCTTCTCATCCCTGGAAAATAGAAAGACTGAGCGATCTTAAGGTAAGTGCGATCGATTCCGGAATGTCCTGCTAAGGGAGAATCGTGACACTCCTTGAGGATATCAGGACGAAGTGACAGAGGAACGACGAGCTGAGGAGACTCACTGTTTGAATCTGGATTATACCGGTAAAGTACTCCTTGGGATAGCAGGTATCCACGTTCCGTCCATCTACGAGAGGCTACCTCGTCTGTGCTTTCCATTTCGGTAGTAATTTTCTCAACCTCCGGGTCGGCAAGTTGCTCCCGTCTCAATTCAGCGGGGCTCTTAGCGGGCAGATCGATGATCACTGAGCAAATGCCGCATAAGTCGCGAGTATCGGGTGAACATATGGGCCTACTCAATGTATCGGCCACTACATTCGCCTTTCCCGGGGTGTACTGATACTTAATATCAAAAGACTGAAGTTTAAGGGCCCATCTCACCAAACGTCCTGTAGGGGATTTAAGCGTCATCAGCCATCGAAGGGGCTGGTGGTCGCTACCTATAACAACGGGATGCCCGTCTAGGTAACATCGAAAACGCTCTACAGCCCAGACGACAGCTAATGCCTCTCGCTCAGTGGTTGAATAATTACGCTCAGCAGCATTTAAAAGGCGGCTGGCGTATTCAATGGGTCTTTCTTCCTTGTCCTCCCCCTGGAGTAAAACAGCTCCTAGCGCATAATTACTAGCGTCGGTGCGGAGGATAAAAGGGCGTTTGAAATCCGCCTGAATCAAAACTGGCGCTGAAGTAAGAAGTCGCTTCAGCTCGTTGAACGCAGACGACTGAGCTGTAGCCCAGGTCCAAGTCTGCTGCTTTCTAGTAAGTCTAGTAAGAGGCTCTGCTACTGACGAGAAATTCGGGATGAACTTGCGGAACCACGAGCAGGTCTGCAAGAAGGTCCGTAGGTGCTTTAAGTTATTGGGTTCAGGCATTTCGAGAACGGCGTTGACCTTGTTAGGGTCAGGCGAGATGCCTTGTTGTGTGATCACATGCCCTAAGTACTGGACACTTCCCCTGGCAAACACGCACTTATCTCGATTCACACGAAGCTTGAATTCTCGTAGTCGACTGAAAACCGAACGGAGATCCTCGAGATGCTGCTGGAAACCCTCAGATATGATGAGCAGGTCATCCAAATATGCGAGGATGGTGACGTTGGCTAGAGACGAGCATGAGCGCAGACGATCTATCAACCTTTGGAACGTCGCGGGAGCATTCTTCAGTCCAAAAGGCATACGCTTAAAGCGAAAGGTTCCCAGTGGGCTGATGAAAGCTGTCTTGTCCCTATCTTGCTCATTTACACTTACCTGCCAGTACCCTGACCTGAGGTCCAGAGTACTCATGTAGCAGTCCCTCTTCGTTGACTGTAACAAGTCATCAATCAACGGCATAGGGTAATTATCTGTTTTAGTCACTGCATTTAAGCGTCTATAATCAACGCAGAAACGTATGCTGCCGCTTGCCTTAGGGACCAGAAGAGCAGGGGAGCACCAGGCGGACTCACACTCCTCTATGATGTCGTCCTTGAGCATCTTCTCGATTTCTTGACCCATAAGTTCCTTCTTGGCAGGGGTCAATCGGTAAGGGGGTACCGCAATAGGAGGGTGCTCACCTGTGTCAATGCGGTGCTCAGCGTAAGGGGTAGGCTCCCCCCCTAGCTGGAAGATGTCCTCATTGTCAATCAAGGTCTGCTTTAACAAGTCCCGTTCCGGTGGATCTAAAACTGTACCTTCGTCTTCCCTTAGAACATCCGCTGAGGAACAAGCAAGTTCTGGTGACAAAGAAGGTTCAAAACGCATTGGGTACTCGACATGGCGAGTCTCAGAAAAGTACCAACATTTTCGAGGAAAATCCAAGACTATGGCGGCTGCAAATAGGAAATCCATACCCAGCAGTGTTTCATTGTCTCGTGATTCAGGGAGAATAAGGAAAGGAGTCCGAATGACCTTCTCCTCTAAATACACGTCAAGGTCAGTTATCAAAACATCTACGTCGCGCGCGTGTCCATCGGCGAGTTTAATACGTCTTCGAGCCGGTTGAAGCGAATGACCCTTGCGACGTAGGAGGGTGTGTAGAGTGTGGCCCGCAATACAATGTTTGGCACCGGTGTCAACTAAAGCGGTTCCCGACGCGCCTAAGATTTTTATATCGAAAACCGGACGCGAAACTTTTTTAAGTTCGTGGTCGGTGCTATCACCGGCGCGCGTGCTCTCTACACTATAAGTGTCACTACACATACACACCTTAGAATTAATAAAACTATCCTTAGAATTAATATGTGGACAATAAAAATCACTTTCTATAAAATTACAAAAAATATGGTTACTCCGTTTTACATTGCGAGAGTTATTATTAAAAACATTCTGAAAAGTACCAAAATCGCTTTTACGCCGTTGTGCATCACGAGCGTCACAGGAACATACAGTATTATTTGGTACCAAAGTACATAATTGGTGTTTGCACCCTAATTTATTATGAGCGTTATCAAAACAAACATGGTTATTATTATAACGAGAATAGGTACAAACATTATTTTTATTAACTTTACAATCCGGAATTACAGCTTCAGAATCCGGAATAAAGATATTACGTTGAGACATTTGTATTGGATCAGAAACACATCGAGGATTAATACTATAAAAACTTTGTTCGTTATTGCACTTTTTACAATTATCACGAGTTACGTCTTTTGTTCCGCACTTATAACACGACACAGAGTTTTTAAAATGAGCAGCTGACTCACCTGTGGCCGTGTCAGATAACTTACGGCACTGTTCACGTTGGTGACCGTAGTTC